TGTGTATATATATATATATATATATATATATACACACACAGTAGAGCCTAAAACAGGTGTGACATCAGGTGATGATAACTAAACTGGTATGAATCAGTGGGATAGTTTGTGGAAAAAAACAACAACATAAAACATGAACACTGCAAGGTGAAATAACACATCGCATCACAACTAATATGATCATATGTCGCGCGCACACACATACACACAGATAGTGGCATAACACCAGTTACAGGTATATCTTGGCTGTATTAATATGTCATGATAATTGTCAAGACACTGACGAAACAATTAAGTACGAATTTGATGCAATGATACAAATAGCTCCTGTAAAATATCCATTGATTTCTTCGATTATTATTTTCGATCTATACTACTGTTATATCAAAAAATAAATAAAGGGTTTCGAAAAATTTAGATGGAAATAAAAATTTCAGTGGTAAAAGTTGATTACCTGTTAGTAACAAAACGTAGTTATTAATGTGTTGAAGCATAGCATTTGTACTTCTTGTTTACACAGATTAAGATTACTGTACCGTAAACAAACCTGTTCTATATTAATATATAATATCTGACCTTTCGTGTTCTATATAGGCTGTGGAACTAGGCCTCTTTTTTTTAAAAAAGACTCGTGCACTTCAACAAAAGTAAGTTTTGTCATTACACTAATGAACTTTCATCTTGTCAAGTGACAGCCTGAATAAAAACGCAAATGTTACTGGGTGGGGCACTGACTTCTGCCTGATTATTATATCTTTTAAGGGCAATCCCAGGTTAGTACACGTTAACGTGGGTGATGCCTTGTTTTATTCTAAGCTTAAAATGTTTTGTTCTTTTTTACATTCATTATAATATAGAAAAAGAAAGCAGGCTAAAACTTTGTCACGAATTGAAGAGGTGGTTTTAGAAAGACAGGTTACTCTTGGGCGGAACCACCCTATGTAATTTGTTATTTACATTTCACTGATAATGCAAAACTTTCTCCCATTGTTGGGTTTGTTCATCATCAATTACTTTGAATGTAAAACTTGTTTACCTTCTTTTTTGTGTGAAAAAACTCCAGAAAAATCATGTATTATTGTTTGTTTGTTTGTTTTACTTTTAACTCAAAGCCAAAAAAAATGGGTATCTGAGCTTTGTCCACTGCGGGGAATCGAACCCATGAGTTTGACGTTGGAAGTCCCTAACTTAACGCTAACCCACCAGAGGACCTTGTGTTCTTGAACAAAATATACTGTGAGCTACCTGTAATATCAAACAAGTCGATATTTCTGCAGTAATATTAGTCTACTGCTCTTATATGCCGTTAAAGAGTACATAATAAGAATAAATTAAAACAGTTAAGTAATCGAAACACTTTGACTACTACTTTTGAATTTAACGAAAATCGCACTTGCAGTAATAACCAAACGGGATTTAGGAACTTTTTTTCTTTTTTTTTGAATAGCTAAACAAAACATCTTATCGAATTATTAAACAACAGAAATAGTACCAATAAAAACAATGATTATGATTTATATTTAATATTAATTTCCGATCAGAGCAAGTTATGAACGTAAATACATGGTGTTCTCTGCCTTATGACAGTTAATCACGACACTCGTTTTTCCAGTGATGAAGTTGTAGTAAATATACATATAAAACACGTTTCAACTTTCCTTAAGTAACTGCTCATTGTTATGCTTGATTTTGGAAATAAAAATTGTGTACAAGAAGTAAAATGTACAGGGTACTTTCAGCTACTCGGCGAGTAGTCAATAAACAGGTTTTACTCAATGTTGGCATCTATCTTCTATACGGTAGCAGTAGATTAAATAGAAATTCACATAAACAATGTACACTAAACAAATAAAAAAGGACTCAGTATTTTTACTCATAACTAGTTGATGCATTTCTGGAACAATAATACTAAATAACAACCAATAGTAACAGCGTTTTATAGATGAAGATTAGAGTATGTAATGCACACTGTTATATAAGAATCGTTAATATGAATAAAAACCACCACTAACTCAAAAAACTTAGTACTTGTACTCCTAGTATGATACGATTCTGGTATAACTAAGTTAAATTAAAACTGATTATTGTAAAAATAAAAGAGGAGTTCGGGTAAAACAAGGTGGTCTACTTACACGTGGTTTGATCAACTGGAGGAACAGCATGTCGAATTACCAGTACAATTAGAAAGATAGCCACAGGCCAAAACAACTGCAGAGCCAATATTACCTAAACAGTGAAGAAAATTAGCGAGTGTTATATAGTTAGCAAATATCATATTACTAGCAGAGATCCTCAAAACATTTGCAGTAAAATTAGTATCTTTATTGTAACAGTACTTCTTTAAATACAGGATTTCTACAATAGTACAAAATAATTCTACTCGAAATCTGCAAGTCCATTTGTCTTAGGCCTAATATTAGTTAAGCCTTTATTAAGTATGGCCTATATTTGATGACACTAACTTGTGTACGTTTTTTGCTTTAGTTTAGTTAGTGCTAAACTTTACCGTATCTAATACTAACAATATATAAACTTAAAATGTTATTATACGGCCTAACGTCAGCCTTTTTAAAAAGTTTAATAAATTTTTAATATGTTGTTGTACAAAATGTCTACTAAAGTATATCTACATCCACTTTTTGTTTACATCCGTTGAAATTAAGTGCGCGCGCATTTTTCAGGACATACAAAAATTGAGTATTAACCATTATGACATCTTTGTTAGACCTCTTTCCAAACCATTTCGGCAATTTTACCTGACCAAGAGAAGCTGTACGTCTCGAAACATGTCAAGTAAATAACAAGAGAGTGAAAAGATTAAATTATTTGCAATTTACCCAGTACACGTCAAATATCAGTTCACAACGTTTTTAAACACACAGTTGGTACTGTACAAACAGGCATCATTTCTTGTATCATTTTATAAGTGAAATGAATAATTGTGTACATCAAAAAGTCACCATAAAATATAAAACGTTTTTACTTCAGTGAACAAACAAATTTTTCATGGATTTAACTCAACCAGCATCGCTACATCAATCTACCATCATTCAAAAAACAGCATTATTTTCAAACACCAAAACTATGAACTATATATTTTCTTTAATTTCATGAAATAGATTTTACTAACAAACTTTCAAGAACAATGATGGAATAGAACTACACTGAACGAATTGTTAAAATTTTTGTTTCTTTCAGTCTTCAGGGTAGGTTTATTATTATTATTTTATTTTTTTTACTTCTTGAAACTGATCGGTAAAGTAATATTATACATCCTCTAACTGAAACATTATCGTCAGAAGAACATTTTCTTACACTTGCACAAAAAACATGGCTGAGAATGAGTCACTGCTATTAGTACTAGTGCGGTGGATGGTAGCTACGCCTCTTGCGCACACGTTTTTTTTGTTTTTTTTCTTCCCAAGGATTGAAACGAAAAACTACATATACTGCTATATAGCGCTTTAATCATTCACCGTGTGAAATTTTGAGCTTACCAACTTTTTTAATGAAATGTTTTACTTATTTCTATTGGGGGTTAAGGTTTTTCAATTCAATAAAAACACAAAATGCATACTACATTAAATTACGCAGATGGATGTTTAGATGTTACTCAAGCCTGCTGAACCTCAACGAAGTAGAAAATTATATAGAATCCAAAATTCTAACTTGAACATTTGTCGTAATTTCACTTTCTTTTTGCTCTTCTTTACAGAAATAGCAGTCTTTAAAAGCACATAAGGCTTCGTAATTGTTGAGTTCATTGAAAAGACTGTTAATTTTATTTTTTACACGTCATTCGTAACTTTTAGGGCAACCAATTTTCTGTTCATTTAACTAAATGATTATGTCACCTTGATTTTCTTGTTTAAGACGCACGGGATTATTTAGTAATTCGCCCCCCCCCCCAAAAAAAAGAGCTTGTTCAGGTATGGTGTTAGACTCTGGGGTTTTATTTTCATCATATTTAGACCATTTGCCTAATGGGAAATATGTCACAGCTCAGTAGCGAGTTCCTCTACAATGATTAATGCCTGGACAGTAAATAAGGCGTTATTGAAAGGGTTTTTCTTGTGACGCAATTTATAATTGAACGTTCTTTTGAATACTAGATCTCACCGAAAATGTATTATGTGAATTAACAGAGAACAGCATGGTGAGTAATTTATTTGACTTTAGCCCCCAGTGGCACAGCGGTATGTCTGCGGACTTATATCACTAGAAACCGGGTTTCGATACCCGTTGTGGGCAGAGTATTGTGTAGCTTTGTGCTTAACCACAAACAAACAATTTTACTTAAACATTACGACGATTAGGGTTAATTAATAACATCACTGAAAATTTCCGTTAAAAATCCTGCGTGTGGTATTTTTCAGCCACTAATTCAATACTTTCATAATCGACACTTGACTAATATATCAAAGATATAGAAGTATTATATGCCTACGTAAGTCACATAGGGCTAAGTGAGTGAAAATTTGCGTTTTATATCAGATAGCATTAAGTTTTTGTTGCTTTTAATTTAATTATTGTTGTTATCAAAATACAGAAAATTGTAACAGTCTTGGCCTCTTGGGTCTCGGGAGGCACGAGATTCACAATGATAGACATAAAATATAAACAACCCCGTTTTCAGTAATTAAACTTTATTATATTTTTAATGAAGCCGATTATTTCATATGAAAGTTCAGGAATATTTTTAGGGCAATGACCTAAAAACAGCTGTTTTTGTTTTATTTCAGGACTTATAGATATCAGTTTCCATGACTTTCGACGGTTTCAAGGGCTTATGTAAACCCTTTATTAGTAATCAGATTAACGAATCTTCATATCTAATTTTGTACAAAATAAATAGCACTTGAATTGACTATATAGGATGAAACTTCATTTCAAGACCAAATAAACGCAGTCTTCAATCATAGTCTGTAGTTGACTCAACAAACCTACAATTTAACTTGGTAAAGTTAGTAGAGTGAGAAGTGCATGAAGAACGTAACCATACGTCTGTATATCAAACATTAATTAAAATCAAATTACAAGTTTAAAAAAATATTAATTGTGCACATATAAGCATTAAGTGAACTAATACAAATGTTTAAATTTTGATACATTACATAAACGTGACTCACAGTAATACTTGAATTTATTACAGTAACAAAGCCCACATGTGGCTCAGCGACAAATCTGTGGTCTTATAACGTTAAAATTCGAGTATATTTACGCTTAACTATACACAAATATACAAAAATACTATTGTAACAACAAAGAAAAAAAATGAGTAAATCCGTGAACAACTTAATCAAACAAACAAAGCATTACTCTGATTATTTTTACGCACACATCAAGAATAAATTCGTATCAATTACATTGCAGAAAATATATCGTTTACTAGCTTTGACGACGGGGAACCCACTCTGAGACTAATAATAAAGTTGAGACAGATTAGAAAGGTAAAAAAAAGATAAGCTTACTAAAAATCTGACAAAATCCTGTTGAAACGTTTTAGAGTTATTACCATGTTACACTAGTAATAAGGTTTTCTTTGTTATCCATTCAAGCCGTCTCTATATTTCGTTCTCTAACAGAAGTGTGTATGTGTGTGTACGTTAAACGCAAGTTACACAGGACTTCTTTATGATCACACAAACTATCAAATGAGAGGCTGACAACTGTCTGAAAATTCTGGATAAACTAGTAAACCATGATGTCATCAACACTTTAAACAAGCAGAATACGACGCAAGTAGATGTGGTTCAAATGTTGTGAACAAGGCGGTTATTAAGATGCAATTTAAATATTAAAAACATTTAATTATATTGAAAATGCAGATTAGAAATTAGAAAGTTTCGTGTTATTTACTAGAATTGATCAATTATTTTCAAAATATGTCTAGAAGACAACAAGTCATTAAACATGTCAGATGATAAAATTTCATAAACATTTAACTGACACCTTGTGGACATGCACTGCAATTATATAACAATCTGAACATGCAACCTATTTTAGCTGGTAACGAAAAGAATAAGGTAAGAAATAAAGTTTTAACTAACAGTAACTGGGACAAGCATGCACAATCTGAACATGCAACCTATTTTAGCTGGTAACGAAAAGAATAAGGTAAGAAAGAAAGTTTTAACTGACAGTAACTGGGACAAGCATGCACAATCTGAACATGCAACCTATTTTAAATGGTAACGAGAAGAATGAGGTAAGAAAAAAGTTTTAACTAACAGTAACTGGGACAAGCATGCACAATCTGAACATGCAACCTATTTTAGCTGGTAACGAAAAGAATAAGGTAAGAAAGAAAGTTTTAACTAGCAGTAACTGGGACAAGCATGCACAATCTGAACATGCAATCTATTTTATCTGGTAACGAAAAGAATAAGGTAAGAAATAAAGTTTTAACTAACAGTAACTGGGACAAGCATGCACAATCTGAACATGCAACCTATTTAAGCTGGTAACGGGAAGAATGAGGTAAGAAAGAAAGTTTTAACTAACAGTAACTGGGACAAGCATGCTCATATAATAAAATACGTATGAACATACCGGTTGACGGGTTTGAAGTACAAAGTGTTTCTGTAGGAGTAAACGCAGCTGTCCCATGGCGTCCACCCTCGTCAACTGGGTTACTGAGCTGTTAGCTTTATCGACACCTGGTGTACTTGGGTCTGTAGCGATGCCCCCTGGTTTGGGAGCCGAGATTCTTCCCCTCTAATAGCAGTTCCCTGAAATACAGATTAATTCTTAGTATTGGAAACAATACACCGACTAGTAAGTGTATGAAAATCAGATAAACAGACTCAATCACACGACAAACACATTCAGGATGGGTATTTAGCCTAGAAATATACTTGCTTGTTCAGAAACCAGTTCAAATAACTGTCAAACACTCAGTAAATTAAACTGATATTATATTTACATACTTACGGTATATAACAGTTCTTTGGCTCAGATATAGAAACAAAAATGCATCAAGTCCAGTATGTACTTTAGCTTAAGTACATGTCATAGTTTTTAAGCCATGTTTAAGTTTTTAACCACTCGTTTTCTTTATTCTATATTCAATATTATAATAAATCAGTATTTTATCAGGTAAATTATTTTAGCAAATAGTCTTTGAGTAAGTGGTAATGATTCCATTATTCTAACTTTATGTATAATTTTATAAATGGAAGAAATAGACATATTGTTAAATCTAAAGCACACAAGGAGATCTTTGTTTCTGGACGTTGTCTTAGTTCAAGAGTCCCCTGGTGGGCCAACGGTAAGTTTACAAACATACAACGGTAAAATCCGAAGTTCAATTTCCTGTGGAGGATAGAGCGCAGATAGTTCATTGTAACAACAGTTAAAGATGTATTTGGTGTCACCTGGACGAATGTTATAGAAATTTATCTTTTGTTCAAGAGTGCAGACGAAATTAACTGGCGTTTTTAAGTTTGATGACGAGAAAGTTTGAATAATGACACAATGTTGTACATTTATGGTAAAATTTTCTTCATTACCCATTCAAGCCATCTCGAAACTTTTAATTGGAGTTTTATTTTTTATATTCACTAAACTACAACTAAGAACACTATTTGATAAAGTGTGCCTGTAGTGTATACCATACCATATTTATCACGAAATTGTGATTAGAAATAAAGTATTCATGTCCTTCACCTTTTGTATTGGATAATGGTTTTCGACGTGGTAATTCACGGCTACATGTTACAAACATATTACAGAAACTGTCTTAACTATTGCATATATATACTCTTGACTGACCATTCTACTCGACAACCTAAAGGGCTATTCACACACGAGCTTTCGACGGTTGGACCCCTGCCAAGTATAGCTCCAAACAACTGACTAGTTGACCCAGGGACCCAGTTCCTCCATAACACCTGCCCTATTTTTCCATCTCTTTCTGTTGGTACGATCGTAACTGACGTTTCGAATAATACAGTAAGACAACGTGACTCAGAACAAGATACACGATTATCACATTTGTTTACTTTGTATATCTAAACAGAATGCTGTTTTAGATGACAGACTAAATACACAAACTCCTAAGCAATCAAAGAGATCTAAAAACGTTTGTATTCATATAATATTTCTTCCATTTCTCCTCAAATTATCCGATTGTAATTTTATAACCTAAATCTATAACCAGTTCGCAGCAGTTTTTTTTGTTGTTTTTGCACGAATAATTTATAAATACAATAAAATGTTATTCTGAAATTATAACACAGAGAAATATACTTATTCAACTTGACATAATGTGTATCACATTGTATAAAATAATTTCAAAACCAATAAAATTCGAAACTCTCATTATCGATACGCATCGTCAAAAGTTTGGCGAGACTTTAAATTGTAGGTAACGAAGCAACAAACTTGAACAATCCGTCGACATACAAATTTTTTTTACGAAAAATTTGAGAAAACGACATTATTTCATTATTCATTCACATCCAACTCTATTTAAAGTAATTGAAAAAGATTAACTATTATATGGTATTTACAACTTGAACGTCACTTTATAAAACATCATAAGTTATATGTCCAGGTCAGAAACTCCAAGGTTCTGGTAGTTTAGAATTGTTGACAATATGAAGATCAATCAGTCACATGCACCCGCCACTTACACGGCTAATCTTAGCTGAATATCAGTATTGACTGTCGCACTTATAACGCTCCCACAGCAGAAAATAAGGAGCGTGTTCAGCAGCACATCGCGATTCGAGCCACCCTCAGGCGTATGAAAGGATTAAAAAATATATATTAAACTTACATAAACTACTTATATCGGAAGATGTATAAAGAGATTAGGATAATAACAATAAACTGTTAATCCATTGACATGGAACAGTGTACCAAGAGAATAGCTTTCTTATCCGTGCACATTCGAGATATTAGCTTTGATAATTAATTTGTGGACCCTAGGCTGTTGGCTAGTTCGCCTATGTCTGAAGGCACCTCTGCCCATTTATCAAATTAAAATTATCTTTATTTTCTAAAGTTGGTAAACAATCAAAAAAGCATTCGTGTTATAACCTTGGAATGCCCTTTGTTTATATTCTGAATAGGATACTTGTGAAACTAACCAAACTGTCCTTGATACATCATGATCAAACTAAGTGTTATATTTATCTTAACTGCAAATGATAAAACTCTTACGTATAGCATTACTTTTAAAAATTCTCGAAACATTTATTAACAAAACTTCAAGATATACTAATGTACTATTTACGAAAACATCTTAGTTTATAAAATACTGACTTACAGCTCAATGTAATAATATCTGTGGTATATACTTGTTCTAGCATGTTATTAGTCAAATAGAATAAATCACCATAAACGAAACATAAGGGACATTCTCCAAAGTAATCAATGTTTCTTTATTTTAGAAACTATATAAAACATACAATGCCCTTGTCTCCTGTCGTACTGAACATTAGATCTTGACCCTCATATTACCACTCCCCTACAACTTAAAACTGATGTGTTTCACACTAATATGCTATCTTCAATATATGTAAGTAAATACCTGTAAAATATAACATATACTAAAACACTGGAGAATATTTTCAAAATGTACAAACACGGAATCATCATCTCCATACAGATCATTTTAGTGAGTGTCCTATTTATTTTGTTTTATTTACGGAGACATATGATTAAGCATTTAAATATTCCTCAACAGAACAAAGGAGCTTTCTAAGAAGTGATGCCAAAGGATAAAACTCTGTTACCAATGCTTTGACCTTTATTCATTAGTCACATGTTGGTCAACGATTACCTCTTGAGAAACATTCAGTTCTATATCATGTAATGAAACCAAGAACTATTATACTACATCTGATAAATAACGACGCAGAACATTGATTGTGACTCTTGTATCATATAAAGGACAGATAATGTGTTAAATACTTTGTTACATTAATCTATTATTGGAACGACTTTAATATATATAATAAAACTAATCATGCTGGTGAAGTTTTTTTTATGTGAATATTATAGTAACGTTCTTTATAAACTGGTTTCATGTAAAGATTTGTATTTTCCTGTAGACCATATATTTTACCATGTAATCACAAAACTTAGAAGTATATTACCACATTGAAAAACGTCCACTTTAATGTATATGATACTTATGGACGTTTTTCAATGTGGTAATATACTTCTAAGTTTTGTGATTACATGGTAAAATATATGGTCTACAGGAAAATACAAATCTTTACATGAAACCAGTTTATAAAGAACGTTACTATAATATTCACATAAAAAAAAAACTTCACCAGCATGATTAGTTTTATTTCTAAAGATCATGCTTATTACAATGAAGTTTGTATTATTCTTACAGTAAAACATGATAATATAGTTTTCCATCTTAAAATATCAATGAAATTGTTATAAGATTTATGAAAATTTAGTAAAGTTCACTGTAATAACAGGAATAAGTTAGTCATAACACAATATCACACGGTTTCCCTTAAGTTACAACTACCTAAGTTCAGGGATGAGAGAATGTTATACAGTTTTAATGTAGTCTTGTGATCATCGATAATAATCATTCTTTGGTGGTAAATAGGTATACAACACTGAACATATTGTCACTGCACTGTTATTTCTGTCGGTGAAAAGAAAAAATAGGGACCCGGTGTTTGAAGTCTCATGCCAGATAAAAGTGGCAGACAAACACTGAGATACCAGTCATAAATAAAGATTATATTCAATCTATACTAAACATACGACGACTTTCTTAAGTTACGTCGGAACAAATAAGAATGTCACAGATGCCGGACAAGACCTATCATCAGTACTCGAGTTCGTGGGTTGACTGGAAATGTCGCATTTATAGTTAAATGCCTTAAAAAATGATGTAACGTTAATACCCGATATAGCGTTTTAACCAATACTTTGATACATTTCAAAAAAAATCTACCGCAAGGACCATATTCGACAGTGTGTGGAAAACAGTGTATATATTATGTTATTATCGTATTGAAATGAAAACTCTTATCTAAATTTCAATCCCACAAAGATAGTAATGAAATGTTTGTTCATGATTTTGTTGTAAAACTTTTACGTGTAAATACGTCCTTAATATATATAGATGTGTAGATGAAATTGCGAGACCTTTATTATGAGAAAATGAATAAAGTGTTAAAAAGGAATAGTGTCCAGAATTTTTTGTTATTATAAACGTGTTACTAATAATCTTTGAAATAATCACTTGATTTATAACTAAAGAGTCAAACTAGTGAAACAGTAAATTTTAAACTATTGCGTGATATTTAAATAAGCGTCCTTTTTCTGGACGATTTACATATAATTGGACAGGAAATGTAATTAAATATAGAGCTATTCAATTAGTGTATTAAATCTAGCCATACTGTGGCACGTTGATACATGTCGTAGACGTCATTGTCTCTGATGTCATGTCCACCTGTCATGGCGACCTAGCAACGCGCCCTCTCTGATGACATCAACGTCTCTACCCCTTCCCTCCCTACTCTCCTATTGCCAACACCCTTGTATCGCCCTCTGGTGGCAAGTCGCGCGATTCCCGCCATAACTACATGTAAAATTTTATGTACGATTAAAACATATACCAAAACATTGGTATTTTACAAACAAAAACTATATTTCAACAAGATAAAATACAGAATATTGGTCCTCAACTACGAATGTTATGACAAAAATACTATTAAAAATGGCAAACAAGAATTATGAAATA